ACAACTAACTACGTTACGTTACGTTAGTTAGTAGGTTAGGTTTAGTACGTATTAATTACTATAAGTAAACTAAGTTAGTACGTATAGTATACTATATACTACTACTATATATATATATATATATATATATATATATATATACACACTATATATATATATATATATACACACTATATATATATACTCACACACACACACATACACACACTCATGTTATAAAGACATTAACACATTTGTGAATGCCCGACAAAGATATTAGTTAAAAATGTCATTCTTGAAATTGGCTTTTTAGAAGCGACATGCCCTTACATCATTTATAAGGTGGGATTGGGATTTAACCAAAATTAAACTACTTTTATAGTGAGATTTCAATAAGAAAGACAAAAAGAAGTGTCCAACATGAGTTGTTGTGTCTTTGGTGTTTTGACGCACACCTAAAACCTTGAACTTATGCATCCATGTCACAAAGGTGCCTATGTTGATATAGGGTATATGTGTTATTACATGAAACCAGTACTGGGTGTTGGATCCTCATATCATGAACAATAGAACATCGCTATATTATGATGAGACAACCAAATCCAAAGATTGTTTTAGTAATAAGTAATAATCCATGAAAGAATCTATTATACATTAATTGGCTGGATCCATAGATATTTTCAAGTTTTGTAGACATTTTCAAAGTTTACGTGAGTACTCAAAACAAGAAAGAATATCAAGATATCTAAAATATTTGTAAGCTATGGTTATTAAACAAGAAGAAGAATCCATGCGAGTCAGTATTGGCATATGTGTCAATGCGTGTCCCAAGATGGGTAGGGCACCCAACCAGAAGAATCCATGTAACGTAGATTTGGGCACAAACTGGAGATGCGTCCAATATTAGATATTCATGTTGGAGCTGCATCTGACCTCATAGATATTAACACAAACAAATGTATCATCTGCACAACCATTGCAAAGGATCCATTTTTCCCTCCCATTTAAGTTAATGCTTTATCCGATCATGATAATGGTAGGATAATTTCTCATATTTGCCACATTACAAAACTCCTGATAAATACCATGGTTTCCTTATGCCTTTGCCATCATGTAGCCTCTATCCATTGTTCTTGTTTCTTATTGCCAATAAGCTTGAGATCTGATAAAACAAAAGAAAAAATTGGAAAGAAAAAGAAAAACATACGATGCAACCTCAACAATGGAGGGGGGTTTCAAAAACAATGTGAATTGTTTCAATCATGGGGTGGAGTTAAATAATCATGTCTGTCAAAATAAAGAGAGGAGACAATGTATCAAGGCCTCTAGATAAAGAAATGGTATGGTGTTAAAAGGGACAAAAATTTCTGTTTAGTAGACATGAAGTAGTGGTGTATGAGTATTAGGTCCAACACTAGGGCATCCACCATCGTTCGCAGATAAATAACAAAATGTTATGTACTCAACAACCAAAACTGTGCAATTGACTTTGTTTCTAACTGATCATATACTGTGTTGATTTAAAGAAAGCATATCTTCAACAAACATGGCATTGTGTGATATTAAAGATAATATTTGAGGCATTATTGCAGATATATCTTTTCTGCAACAGTGTCACCTATGAAAACATGTTTCAGGGACATGGTTCAGTTTCAGGATGTTGATGTAAAATGAGAACTTGAAGTCACAGAAGATATCACCATATTGTCTACTTCAAAATGATACTAATTAGATTGAGGTTTTCTTGAAGGGGTTTTGCGGAATATATGGTGAATGGAAGTGATGCAACCTATCAACAACTCTGTAGTGAAATCACTGTTGAATTCAATGATTGCTCAAAACAAGTAGGTTCTTCTGTTTCCCTGAGGAGACATTGGAATTGTTGAATTGTATGAAATTTTTCCAAAAAGCATAAAGAATTGGGAAAGGAGAGTTGAAAGGCATGAATACCATAACAAAGACTAAATTTCAAAGGAGATGGACCATATTTGGGAGGGTGGGAGGAATAGTGTCACTTTTGTACTCACCATAAAGTGGGTCCTTGGGTGATATATTCAAATTCTCCAAAAACGTTTTTGAATATACCAACTATTGATATTCGCATCTCCTTTCAGCATGCCGGGCTGGAGGCCAACGCTGGTGCAGATGCCTTGACAAAGGAGGGAGTGGCTGCTCAGGGCAGCGGTGGAACCTAACTTGGTTTTTGTTCTCTGATTCCACAATTTTTTTTTTTTTTTTGTCTGTCTTTGTTTTATTTCTCTCGTACAGTGTGCTGTCGAGCACCATTTTTTGTACATGGTCGCCAAGAGCTGGCCTGTTAGTGGGTGGGCGTATTTCTACATATATTAAAACAAAAACTCTGTTATCACTTTATATATATTTTTTTATATGTATACCAATTTTGGATAAATGAGGTTTCCTAGTCATAGAAGAAAATGAAAATACCAAAAGAAACTGAGACGCTTAACTAGTAAAAAAGATACATGGGCAAAATCGCATTTCTATCAGACTTCTAGTCTCAAATAGAATAAATTCGCAATAGCAATAACAGATTGAATTACTTGATTGAAATCGGCAATATTAACTATACATCAATAAAAGGGGCAACATTAATTGCTTTGTTTAGCCCACTTTAGCGCATCTACTCGAGTACACCTTAATTTTTAGGCATGATGCTTGTGTGTGATTTCAGGTTGTTGAATTGGAGTCTCAGTTTTCAAACCCATATTTTTGTCGGGGCGACCTTGCCAGCATTTTGAAGGCTGTTCAGGCACAAGAAAAACAGAAGTTACACATGGTAAGATCTTGAATATTTGAATTGGTTTTTCGTGTCCTTTGGAAAATATGATTGTGAAAACAGATTATGTAAGAATTTGTGGTTGTGGTGGCAGAGCCACAATGACATCTCGGGTTCCATTCCTATCTACTATATACCGTCAACATGTTATATAAATTAGAAAAAAAAATCTGATTATGTTGATTTCCTTTATTAAATATAGGTTATGTTGGTTCTAGGAGAAATGATTCTCAGTAGTAGTTAACCTAGCCAATTAGAACTACTCATATGCCACTGGCTTTACACGAATTTAACTAAATGGCCACTGGTTTTGGGTTTTCAACAAAACTAGCAGTTTCCGAAATTGTCTTAGGTATGCTAATCTACTAGATGTTTTAAGAAAACGCTCATTCCTCTGCATGGCTGCACCCGCACCCACGCTTGCGCCAACTTCCGCGTCCGCGTCCGTGCCTGCGCATGTGCACACGACAAAAAATGGCTATAAGGCAACAAGCAACTACCAAAAAACAGGCCTTTCTTGATAGGACGCGGTTAGCATGCGACCAGCCCCCATATTGTAGAAATGCGGGCTTGGCAATAAATATATTTTAAAAATATAATTTGATCCTAGTTTTTAGAGAATATGTAATTTATAATAAGGAGATCATGAATATGAATAAATAAATAAATTTTGAAAATCAGAAATAATAATTATATTAGTTACATAGTTTCAATTGTTTTTATATTCATGATCGTTGTTGTCAATATTACATGTAAATTTTTGGATCCAAAACCTATCTTCCGAAAATGGATTTTGGAAAGGTGGACTCATTGTAGCAGGTGCCTGCACGCAGGCACCAAAACCGTACCCAAAGTCAACTTTCAATTGCTTAAAATAAAGCACTACGGCTAAAGAATAACAAACGGGTTTGTATACAATGAGACTATTTATCTTTGATACAGGGAGGTCACAATTATTTATAACCCTCTGATGTGAAATCTGATAGCTTGGGTGTGTAATAAAGTTCGAGAAAATTTATTTTGAACTATGAGCTTGGTCAGTGAAATAAATGCAGCCACTCAATTTTTTATCTAATGATCAAGATTAACTGTGACCATTTTCTATCAAAGGTAAATGCTCTCGTTGTATACTTTACCATGACACTAATACATAAAGAAAAGGTAATTATTGTTGTTGGCATTGCTTATGAAAAATTCTTTCCACATGTATACAGACCGCCAAGATTCAAGTATTGAAGAAGGCAGGGCGGCCATCAGAACGGCTAGTGAGCCACGAACGGTGTAGATTTGACAGGCCAGCCGAGCATCGATGTGTTCACCTCCATGAGATCACAGAGGCCTCAGGAACAGAGGATGCCGAGGTAGATGCTGCATATGATGAAGCCCTCAAGGAGGCCATAAGAGGAGTGCAAGACGCTGTTACAATCATCAATGATCACCTCGAGGAAGTGCAATATGAGATTGAGGCCTTAGAAGCCGAATAACTCTGGTTACGATTATTAACGAGCACCTCGAGGAAGTGCACTGTGAGATTGAGGCCCCTCAAAGCCAAAGACTTCCCTCTCTCTCTGATATAATGGGTGGTCTTCGTAAATATACATTTTCAGAATTGGGAATGTTGTTCTTGTATTTGTGTACTTGTGATGAGTTTTGCAGGCCATTAGATGTCCAAAATTTGATGGATTCATCCGGAAGGAAAGATACATTATTTCTATTTAAAAAAAGTTATAAAGTTTATGTAAAGGTGAGGCCCTAAACTCAAATTTACTAAAAGAGGTTGTTTTGATGCTAAAAAATCCTCGATTCAATCGTCTCAACTTCAAAGACATGGACATAAGAAAAAATGGACTTTCAAGTCTTAGATATGTGCATTATGTAATGTACTTTTTGGACTGTCGATTTTTAAGATTTTCAAGTGTTTATATATTAGATTGATTTATATTATTTTTGAAGCTTTAAAATTTTAATTAGAGAGATGAAAATAAATTTTCAGCTCATCACAAAGATTTCCAATGTCGAAACATCTTTAAATACCGATAGCCTCAGCCTCATTCAAATCGCACGGTTCTTTTGTTTTATTGGTACGGAAGACGCCTTACTTTTGATTATTTAAGGCCTCAGCCTTATACAAACCGTACCCTTAAAAAAAAAATTTATTGGTATGGAAGATGATTAGTTCTCGGTTTAAAGTTTAGACAATTAGTCGCTCATTTAAGTGTTTCATGGTTGAAGAAATATTTTACTTCAATTCTCCCCCCCCGCCTCACCCGCCCACCCAAAAACATCAAAATAAGCTCCCTAAACACCAAATAGGCTTTCTCTCTCCCTCTCTCTAAACACCAATTATTCTCTCTCAACCAAATAGCCTCTCCCTACTCTACTCATCAACTACTTAAAAACGTTCATCACTTTTCTAACCCTCAACTCATGATGTATGTTTTGATCATTGCGGATCAAATCACCTCATCTCGGTCTAGCAAAAACAGCATTAGATTAAAAACCAATCAAAAGTAATGGATGATTCTGGCCTGTTTAACATAATTGGGTATTTATCTTATATTTTATATTTTTTAACTAACATTTTTTTTTTTTCAAATCCCAATTCAACTAGTGATCAAACAAATTTTGAATGAACCATACTATACTACTCATCAATTTAGTGACCATTCTGAACTTCATAATACTGGTTTCAATGGGTTTCTTAAAATTAAATAAAAAATGGGCAAAATATTCAAGAATTCATCCCTTCGGAGCATTTTAATAAATTTCCCTATCAAAAAAAAAATCACAAACCATTTGAGTCCCTACCCAATTGGCATTATATGTTACGTGCTTATATTTGTATATTTTATACATCAGAAATTCCAAAATTGCACATACAATGTGCAGAATTAACAACACAGCCAATATAGTCCCAATCTCAAATGATCTAGCCTTGCTCCTAGAACTTAAGTTACACCTATGAATGTCTGCCCTCACAAAAAACACAAACATAAAAACAAAATAGTAGAAAAATTATATTCCCTTCAGCCGTGCTTCCCAATTGGGACCAATAAATTCCACCTTTCTAAGTCCTCTTTCTCTCATCGCCATTTTTTATGCTTTCTATGCCACAGATTGTTCTTCAGATTCAGAACTATCATCCGCCTCTGTAGCAGACATTAGGGATGCCGACATTATCTTTCCGGCAAACTCCAATCTCATGAGAATAACTCCCCTGTAGATTTAAGATCGCAACAAAAATCTCAATATGAAAGATAGAATGAGACTCTCAAAATCTCAATGATAAGAGTGAGTCTCTCTAAATCTCAATGATAGAATGACCCTCTCTCTCACTCTGTGACAACTAAGATTTTTAAAAAATGCCAATCGCAACAGGCTGATCCAGATCGGCAGTTGTTGAGGGGTGAACAGTGAACAGTTCGAAAGAAAATGGGTGAAGCCGAGGCTGGAGTATATAGTGCTAAAAAATGTAAAGAAAACAATTAAATAAAATGCTAGATGCTCTCTCAAGCCTATAATTTGCCCCGTTAGTGCAAATAAGCATGGACAAAGATAACCCAAGCAAGTCGGTCCTTGGGATATCTTGAAACAGAAAGCCACAGTAAGTATTCGCCTAATTTTGCACTAAATTTCCAAGCCTTCTAATCACTAGAGTTGCCTAAATAGAGAGAGAGAGAGAGAGAGGAGAAAAAAGTGTTCACAGTAGAAAGGTAAAAAGTTGGTAGTAGAAAGGTAAAAAGTTGGTAGTAAAAATGCCCTTCAATCCACAGGTAATGTAGAGACACTTAGAAGGGACTGTTAATGTGAACAATCACTTTGAGTTCCAACAGTCACAATCCACAGGTTACCAACCATTGATAGCCCAACAACCGCTATGCGCATGCCCCTTCAATCTCAACGGCTAGCTCCATAGCCGTTGGACCGCACACACGCATGCACATTGCCATCCGATGCACCTTTTCAGTTTGGGTCACGTCACGCAAAAATGGGGTGAGTCTTGAGCCCGACCCTCACACGTGCTTGGGCAAGGGGCGCCTCATGTGCCGATGCGAGTGTAAAAAGTGCAAAGTGTAGCATCAAACGCCCTCACCCTCCCACATACACGTGCGTGTCGCATGTTTCGCGAGCTCTATATAAGTGCCCACACCCTCTCATTTGTTCCATGAACATAAAGCATGAGAGTGGTCCTATATCAACACCGCTTTTCAATGTGGAACTAAAATCTACTACTTTCTCTTTCTGTTTATTGAAAACATAAACAACACCAGTAGGTATATATTATTTTGAAATATACTATAGCATTTTATTTTTGAAATATACTATAGCATTTTATTATACTAAAATACTAACACTTCCTGCTATGGCAGGTTTCGCCAATGTGAACCGGTTTTTTGATAGATAGCTTGGTTCTTTCAGAGAAACCTGTAAGCAACAGCCCCATTTTATATATTCCTTTTTATTCTTTTTTTGGTCCTCTAACATAAGAGGGCGGTTCTGCAATAAAAACGATGAGCATCAGCCCCCACTTTGTATTTTTTATTTTTTTTAACTTTTTTGAACTTTTTAATGTTAGGTTCGATAAACCAGATCACCATACCGCCGGATTGGAAATCCAGATGCGTGATCCAGATCAAAGATCCGTTTCTTAAAACCTTGCACATAACTAATGCAATGGATCACTGCATCTATTCCCCCTTACCTTATTTCCATGTTGATGATTCATTTACCAAAGAACAAGGGAAAAAACTTGAGAAAAAGATCTTGTCCATCATTCATCAAAAGAAATAAATAGGAAACTGAGAAAAAGCAACACGACGGAATTGTATTTAGGCATCAAACTTACATCGCGCTGCGTGACTGTATGGAAATATCACGAACCTTGATTCTGTTGACAGTTCCACTTTGGCTAACCAAAACTACTTGTTCATCACTTTCACCATCAGCTATGACAACAAACAAGTAAACTTTTTAGTAAACCAATTTTATGAAGAGATTCTAAGGATATTTAGGGAGAGGAAACAAAATATTAAGGCTTAGTTCCATAAAATGCAATCAAAGATTGAGTTCCAAAACACACACAAAGACTTCGCATATCTATAGACGGTTATGATACCTATACATGGAAATATATTTTACCTGACAACGAAAATCCAACAGCAAATACAGCAGCCAGACCATCATTGGGAGGAAGCTGCAAGGAGAAGAAAAAGAAGCCACATAGTGAATTGTGAAATATGTAATCAAAACACACATGGGCATTGGTGGAAAGAGAGAAAGCGAGCCGGCAAGTGAGAGAGAGAGAAAGAGAGAGATAGGCCCGCACCCTCGGGTGGGCGGAAGAACCATCATCGGGAGGAAGCTGCCACATTGTCAATTGTGAATCACATGAACAGAAACTCACGTGCATGGTTTTAGATAGATCGATAGACACACACACATACAGAGATTGTTTAAGAAGCCCAAAAAAGGGGCACACTCATACAAATGAGCTTAATTGGGGCCTGCTTGGATGACGGTTAATCTTATAAAAAATAGGCTATTTTATTTGGAATTAATATACTTCACATAATACTATTTTGTTGACTATTTGATACACACCTTGTATTATATATAGTATTACTTAGTTATCTGACTTTTCAGTGATTTCAATTATTTTTTTAATTATTTTAGGCTAAGTACATGAGATTTTCAACAAATTATTATTAATAACATAAAAACAGCTTTCCAAAAGATAAATTTATATGTATAACTGCCCATAAAATAATCTCATATTATTTTGTGTAGACACCACCAACCAAGATATAATTCATTATCAGAATTAATTTTATTGATACAGTGTATTCTAACACAGTATGTTAATAGGTGGAATAATATAAATCAAATTAGAGAGGACATGCAGATAAATATTTCTACAGTTTATTTTGACAAGAACATGCACATGTATATATAGCATATACACATAAAATGCTCATTCGATCTGACTTGGGCTTTTGAATGTCTTATTTGCAACCAACACAGAAAAGAGGACTGATATTACCTTGTAGCCTATCACACCCTTCCTCCTAAACCTCGTCATCCGAAAGCTGCTCACAGGCACACGCTTGCCATATCCACTCTCAGTCACAAAAAGCAGCCATGGAGCACTCAGATCTTTACCCCTGCAAATGATTCAACGACGGATATACATATAGAAATCATCCAAAGAAAAGGAAGAAAAACATGTAGATAAAAGAAATCATAAAGCACACATCAAATGGTCAGCAATCCAAAATAATTGATCACAAGCAACTGTAGAAAGCACAAAATAACAACCGATATAATGGATCAACAAGCCATTGTATAGATCTTTACCAATCAACAGAAACAGACACTTGTAGAACTAGATAATTAAACCAATTGCATGGAATTCTAGGGTTTCTTACTCTTTCTGTAGGTTTTTCTGCATGGCTGCTGGAATTATGTCCATAGATGCCATTCGGTCTCCATCCTTCAGTCTCATGGAAACCACTCCCCTAGCAGTTCTTCCTATTGCTCGAAGCTGGAAATGGATGCCACAACCAAAAAACAAAAACACAAAAGATACACGATATTATCAGCTGGAAGGGCATGCCAATGTCCTTAATTGTCTCCATAACACACTTAAGTAGCCAGTCATGAATATTCTTTCTCAGGGAGTTTAAATTCCAATATGCTACAGAAACCATAGTTCATCTCATATTTTTTATAACTATTTGATAAAATGATGAAGTGTGAGAGAGGGGGATCAGAACAGAAAATGACCCTGTGGAGGGACCCACCATCTACATGACTGCCCATCATTTCATCACCAGCGTTGACCTCAAAGAATATGTTTTCCATAAACTATGGTTTTCCATAATCCATTACTTTACGGCATACTTTTCCTTCTTTGATGGAAGAGGGGATGTGCATTGGAAAGGAAAGTTGGATTTGTACTAATGGAAGGTTCCTGAGGAATAACAGCATAGAGTTCATCTCCAGAAGCCTTATTTGACAAGATCAAGACAGCGATCATCTTTGGGGCCTCAAATCACAGGCGATTCAAAGGATTTCCTCCATTGGCTTTCCACTCAGACTGGCTGGTCATGCTCATCCTCACCCATCCCCGTATCTCTCGCGCATCTCTGTGGGGACCACCCGAACCAGGCTTCCTAAAACTCAATTTTGATGGCTGCTCCCTTGGCAACCCAGGACCTGCTGGCATTGGTGGCCTCTTTAGGGACCATGAATGCTCCATTCTGGCCTCCTTTTTTAAGCATATCGACCACTAAGACTCCCAAACAGCTGAGGCCCTAGCCCTCCTAGAAGGCCTCAAACTTTTCGACCAGCCATGGAGCCCAGCCTTGACCATCGAAAGTCATTCCAGCAACGTGATATCCTCAG